ATTGTATCAAATTATTAATTTAAATGTAAGTACATAGTAGTTAAATACACAAAATAAAGTGGGTCAAAAATTTCGATAATTCTAGTAAAACCTGAAGAGAAAGTAATTTTGACCTTCAGCCTGCAGTTGGACAAAGTATCCCAGCGTGAGTGCCATGGTCTGCGAGTCCACTGTGTTCATAAGCTTGGCTGCAGATGTGCCAAGCAGTGGGGTCCCATTTTGCTGGACGTAGTAGGTCATCTCAGCTGGGTTTTTTGGCCCATGCACACGCCTGATACTAACCATCTGAATGCAATGAAACACAGCTTGATCACTTCCTGTAGACACATTTTCATTTGGTAAACCTTAAAAGTTGAATATTTTCCATCAAATAATCTACAGGAGGGAGACTGGGGTGTGTGGTTACACTACAAGGTTAATTAATTAGAAATGAGCAACAGGGGTGAAATCACTATCATACACAAATCACTTCTGAGGTAACAGAAGAAGTCAAATTACTTCTGGAAAACAGATTCACATAACCTAAGTAAGAAATGAAGTTGGGTACAATCATGAGTCCTTTCTTATGGCATATTTTTTACAGAATTATTTATTTGTTTGCAATTAAGTTGCTTAACTAGCACTTCCAATTTTGTTAGGTCGTACCTGGACAGTGTAACTGTCCACCGTTGCTGCCCGCTTGAAGCGAATGCCTTGCTGGTGGGCCACCATGAAGAGCTCAGCCAACCGTTCCTCCATCAGACTAGCAAAACTGTGGTACTGTCCTTCCAGAGAGGAGTTTTCCACATCCTGAATCACTGCAGAGACGTGGAGAGTTTTTTTTAACTCTGGCACTTAAAGTACACTGTATAACAGAGTTTAGCTCCAACTCTTATCAAACACACTTGAACAAGCTAATCAAGGTCTTCAGGATTACTAGAATATTACAGACAGGTGAATTTGCTCAGGGTTGGCGTTAAAATCTACGGGATGATAGACCACAAGGACCAAAGTTGCTGCTGAACCACTGCAGTCTTGCGCACACTAATTACTTCTCAATGATGTAGAACTTTGTCAATATCAGGGGAAGTCCAGAGAAACCTCAAAGAGTTCCTGAGAACTAGCATTCCTAAAGACGCTCAAATCTAACTATGAATAATCAGACAGTACTGTATAACTGGTTCAATTATACTGAGACAGCACAGAAGATTGATGTGTTTGATGTGTTTATAAAGAAATGAAAGCAATATAAATGATCTAATCTTGGCATAGAACAGCAGAATGTTATTATACAAACCCACTGGAGCAAATTGCTTAAGTATTTGTCATGCGTAACACAAATGTGCGTAATATATCACAACAAAACCAAACAAATCAAATTATTCTGTTTATTTGTGAACTCTCGATGTATACTTGAACTTTCCTGTCATCTAGCTTTTGGAATTGTGTGCTAATAGTTAATTATGTGAGCTTTTAGGAATATAAAAGCATATACTATAGATGATCTGAAAGTAAACAGACACAAAGTAAAAACCACAAAACCAATTATGATTTTACACCACATCACTCCATTCTTCCTCTGAATTAAGCTCTTTCACTCATATGGCTACTAATGAATAACATCAATAAGACGATTACCTGTGATTATCCAAAATGGCCTGGTTACTACAGATGTGTTAAGGTTGTGGTATTCCAGAGCTGCAGAGGAAAGATAGTGAGAGGGAAGAGAAAGAAAACAAGAGAAACTTGTAGAGAGGGATAATAGATAAGGAATCTTGTTTCCAAAGACATTGCTTTGATCCTAGGTCCAGAGGCTTAGCTGAGCACATCTACTCTCCAGCAGATAGTACAGAGAGTCTAGCCGCATTTCCCAAATTAAACCTTTACTCAATTGCATACTGGCAGTGTGATTAAAGGCTCTGGCTGACATCCTGTCTTCAAGGCAGAATCACTAAGCAGCCTGTAAAATTTCAACAGCTGTTGAATTACTTTACGCCATTAAAGTCTACTAAGGTCTAATCTGAGGAACAGCAGCCTAAGTGTTCTGACCAGTATTTCATCATATGGTCAAAAATGTACAGTATACATGCATATATACGTGTGTGTGCGTGTGTGTGTGTATATATATGTAATTATATAATGTAGTGCTTAAATATAAAATAAATGTTAATGTTTTGTCATGTCATTATTATTCATTTTAGTCCATTTGCCTGACCAAAACGATAATGAAACCAGTGATGAAAATACCAAAAACACAATTGTTTTCTATTTTAAAATGTATTAGCATCTGTTAATTTAAAACTGTATCAAATATATTATGGACAAACATACAACAAATTTAGAATGTATGCATGTATTTATTTATTTAAGAAATGTTTGCAAACTTCATTTGTTTGAAGCATTTTAGGCACTTAGTCAGCAGCGTAGAGTGGTAATCACAACCGTGCTAATATTCCGAACAACAGCACAATTGCTAGCCTCATATTGCTTTTATGCAGCAGTACAATAAATAAGAAGTTAAGATTTAGCAACTTATGTCACTTTAGACATAATATTGCCAGTTACTTTGTCTTTTTTTTTTTTGCTCTGTCAACAAAAATAGTTCCAAACAAAGCCAAAGTAGGATCAATTGCATGTCTCAGAGCAACATGTAGTAGTGGTGTTTCAGTGTCCTGTATGAATAAGTGTTGTCAAATGAATTTACAATTTCCCTACAATTTAGCATCCGAAAAGCAGTACTTGAAATGTGCACGAGTGATGTGATTGACGTTGTTGGATTAGATGTACTGTCTAGAATGAAATTACTACATGCATGCCTTTTAGAATGCACTTTTTTAACAGTCTCAAAGTAAATTCTTCAACAAATGTAGTACATACTTACGGACACACTCCGTTAACACTGAGTTAAGACAATGGATGATGTGTATTCTCAGAACAGATGTGCAAAAAGTGTCAGGTGGTCACTGGGGTGGTACCCTCAAAAATACATATTTACACCTTCAAAGGTTCATATTGCTACTCTAAGGTACTAATATATACCTTTTAAGTTGTTCCTTTAAGGGTTCTGCCCAAGGGACAAGCTGTTGTACCCCTAAATTTTTGCACATTTTTCTTGATACTTAGATGCATTCAAATGTATGCAGTTGTTACATATGCCACAGTGTGTAGTGTATCATCAGTGCTGGGTAGATTTAAAAATTGTAGTCCATTACAGATTCCAAATTACATGACAAATAGTCATAATCCAGTTCATTACACATTTTAGGCAATGTAATAATACTACTTTTTGATTACTTTTGAGCTAACTTGTTTATCACATTGATTTAAATAGGACAATATTGTACCAGATTGACATAAAAATACAACATGAAGTCCATTAAACATTACATTACATCAAGGTTTCCCAAATTGGGGTTCATTAAGGAAGTGCAGGGGGTTCATGAGTTTAAGAAAAGCTAATAATTAAAGTCCCCATGAAATCAAAATTAAAGTTTGGTTACAGATTCCAAATTACATGACAAATAGTCATAATCCAGTTCATTACACATTTTAGGCAATGTAATAATACTACTTTTTGATTACGTTTGAGCTAACTTGTTTATCACATTGATTTAAATAGGACAATATTGTACCAGATTGACATAAAAATACAACATGAAGTCCATTAAACATTACATTACATCAAGGTTTCCCAAACTGGGGTTCATTAAGGAAGTGCAGGGGGTTCATGAGTTTAATGAAAAGCTAATAATTAAAGTCCCCATGAAATCAAAATTAAAGTTTGTTGGGTGTTAGTATCAATAGGTTAGTTTTAAGGTTATCTATAAGACCGTGTGCTCCAAAACAGTGACAAAATTCAGATTTAGAAGATATAAGCATTCAAAGCTTGCAGTTCGTCACTTCCGCCAATGTTTAATATTCAAAGTTTTAAAAAAAAAATCAAATTCAGAACTATGTTAAATGCCACATAATATTCAGTTTTGTTAAACGACATTTGTCAATAATTAAAATTTACACAATACAAATTCAATTTGTTTTGTCATATTATAAGCTCCATAGAATAGCTCTCACCATCCCATTACAGTTGCTTGTGGAGCCATGTTCTTTCCACACAGACACACACACAAGCGTATCTGGGATTCCCTACTGTTAATGATTTTTCCCTGGAATTGGCTTTGATGTGCATGCTGTGCCCTGGCCCAGGTATGCATGAACCTGTTTCCGCCTCCTGTGAACACTACAAACCAAACAGAAACCACTTCCTCTCTCTGGTAGAGAATCATCTATCTTATTTTGACTGTAAAATGTTGATGATCATGTCTGAAAAAAAACATATTTAGCATTAATTCTGTTTATATGTTTGTTTAATGCTGTTTATATGTTTGTTTGTTTTTCAGATTTATAAATATGAACAAAAAAAATAACCATACTGAATCATACTCAACTGAATTACATAACCATCTTTATTATTTTTTACATGTCAATTCTGCATACTGTACCAACACTATTCCCAAAAGGAATATAAAAGGAAATAAAAAGTGTAACAATTGCACATGTTACATCCTATTTGTATAACTGAGGAATGCCAGGGAGAACTTACGCTCAGCTGTGATCAGTGGAGGGTAAAACAGGAAGTAACCAACAAGCTCGGCAGTCAGTTGGCTGAGGAGGTTACTGGTAGTTGTGCCATTGAGAGTGACACTGCCATTATGCACCACATATATCAGCGATACAGCAGGAGAACCCATAGACTGTGATGTGCTCAAGATCTGTGAGAAAAAAGGAGTGAGAAACAGAACATTTGACAAAGAGAAAATTAAAGGGTTATATTATATTGTGCTCAGACTGACCTTTTACCAGTTAAAAATCAACAAAATGTAATTATAAACACACACACACACACACACATACATATATATATATATATATAAACTAATTTATTTTACCAGTTAAAAATCAACAAAATGTAATTATAAACACACACACACACACACATACATATATATATATATATATAAACTAATTTGACATGCAAAAGTTATAGTTTTGGAGGTTAATAAAGGTAATTAAAAGATAAGCTCCTCCCACCTGTACAGCGAGACCGCTGTGTGAGTTCATCACTATGGCCTCTGCCTCAGCAAAAGCATTCTCCAGTCTCTGCTCCATCATCTGAGTAAATCTGCAGAACCTGAGGTCATCTCCTGGTCCTACAAACCTCAGAACTACACACACAAACATATAGATATACACATAAAAGAAACCATATAAAAATATTTGCTGAAACATGCAGAGCATATTCTATTAAGTGCACTGCACAAACATTCTCTGAACAGTACGATTCTCAGAAGTACTATATTTTATTATGCTATGGCATTGCTGAATGTTTGATTCTGATTCAAGATGTAATTAAACAACATCACATGACCAAAACTGCTGTTGTACTAATATCAGCACAGCTGTGAATCGGGCAAGACTATCTATCTACTAATTGTATATTGTATTAGTAACATTTCAGAATAAGGTACCCGTTGTTAACATTAGTTAACCATATTAGTTAGCATGAACTACCAGTGAGAATACTTGTAAAGCATTCATTAATCTTAGTTAATATTAATTTTAACATTAACACACACCGATTTAAATGTTTCATAATTTTTCCGATTGCCTATTATTATTATTATTATTAGTAGTAGTAGTAGTAGTAGTAGTA